TGCTCTCTGAGCTTGGTTGTTTTCGTGCAGACGTTTTGTTACTCAAACTAGGTAATGTTATCAGTGCATCCTGCTCCCTTCCAGCACTGATGATGCTACCTAGTTGGGTAATGAAACGTCTGCAAGAAAATAACCAAGCTCAGAGAGCACCAAGGACCCCTCATTTGAACTCTGAGATACAAATATTCTCCTTTACAGGTAAGATCTTCCTCCATTCTCCTGGCCTCCTGGAAGACTCTAAAAATGTGTCTACTACATTAGGGGGTGGCTTTCGAGTAAAGAAAATTATCTTTCTCCGACTGCCCATGATCTTGGTTCTTAACTTTTAATCCTTTTATTCTAATTTTAATTTAGCACTTTTGTGGTACATGAGCAATGCTTTCATTGTTGGAATTTACTATGTAAACTCATTATTTCATTAAAAGTACTCCTCATCTTTCGATCACAACTGAGTCCAAAATTTCCACTGCTAAGCAAGATAGTTAAGTGATGTTTGCCTCATTTTACGACCTTTCTTTTCCCAGTTGTTAAGTGAATGAATCACAGTGGTAGTTAAGTTAGTAACACAGTTGTTAAGTGAACCTGGCTTCCCCATTAGTCTGTAGAGATTCGCAGTCATCCAGGTCATGGTTGTCCCAAAGGTGCTTTTTTCAGGAGGCAACTGGACTTTCTTTGTTTTTCCTTGTAGATGTTTCACTTCTCATTCCAGGAAGCTTCTTCAGCTCTGACTGGATGGTGGGGAATGGAAGGATTTAAACTCCTTGCAGACAGCTGGTCATTTGCATCCTTTTAGAGGGTTGTTGAGGCCACTTGGAGGTTTATCTGTGTCCTCGGGGTCACCTAAGTAGTGCAAATGGTTCCTGTAGTCTGCAATTTTTCCCTCTGGAAATCCATTCCTTCTCCCGCACCATTCCAAGGGTGTCCATCCCAAATTGTATAGCTAAAAGTCTGTAGAGATTCTCAGTCATCCAGGTGATGGTTGTCCCAACGGTGAGTTTTTTCAGGAGGCAACTGGACTTTGTTTTTTCTTTGAAGATGTTTCACTTCTCCTTCTAAGAAGCTTCTTCAGCTCTGACTGGATGGTGGGGAAGGGAAGGATTTATACTCCTTGCAGACAATGGCTTCCCCATTGGTTTTGCTTCTCAGAAAGTCACAAAAGCTGATCACATGACCCCGGGACACTGCAGCCGTCACAAATATGAACCAGTTGCCAAGCATCCAATTTTGATCACATGACCATGGGAATGCTGCAAAGGTCGTAAGTGTGAAAAGCAGCCATTTTTTTCAGTGCTGCTGTAACTTTGAATAGTCACTAAACGAATAGTTGTAAGTCAAGGATTATTTGTATTTGATTAATATCATACCATTTGGTTGTTTAAATTCTATTTTATGTTTGTAATTCCTACATTGGTTAAGACTGTTATGTCATTGTGTGTTATGCTTTAAATGCTGGCTGTTTATTTTTAAATTTTATGATATTGGTAAGCCACCACGAGGCACCAGGCTAGGAAGGAAGAGACCATGAGTTCAAGTCTTGCCTTAGCCATGAAAGCCAGCTGGAAGACTTTGGGCCAGTCACTCCTTCTCAGCCCAATCCACGTTTGTTGTTGTTGTGGAGAAAATAGAAGGAGGAAAATTATATGGTGTATGTTTGCTGCCTGATTTGTAATAAATAAATAAAGGCGGGATATAAATAACTAACACTCAAGATGTCATGGATATAAATGGAGTAAATGAATAAATACCAGTATTACCATGGAGTTGTTTGAAATCCAAATTATATTCATGCCATGCAGGCCAAAATGATCTAAGGAATAATATAGGAAAGCACTTAAGAGGCATTTCCAATATGTGAGTCAGTATGAGAATAATATGACAGGGCTACTTTATTCTTCCTTGGTCTTGGAAGATGTTAACTATAATCGGCATCATTGGGCAGATGTTTCTACATCTGACCTGGGACTGAAAAGGAATTTCAGTTCGCTGCACAGGTTCTCCAACTGGGAAGGAAACCCAGTTCTGAAGCCTAGGAAATAGACCAGTATGTGTTTCCACATTAATCACCTTTGCTTCTAAAAAGCTGGCTGCAAAAGCTCTGTGCAATACTTCCTTTTCATAATGCAATGCCCGTTATCTAAGCAGACAAATATGATCCTTCCCAGCATATCCTGTTCACTATCAGAAAGCTGAATAAGCAACCTGGGAAGAATGTATGTATACCGATCCCAAAGGGGGACAGTCGCTCAAATGAATTTAGGCAGAAAAAACAGGAAGGGAAATGAGGTCAGGGACAGAATCAGAACCAGGCAACCCACAGTGCCTTCCTCTGTTTGTCCGCACAGATCAGGGGTTTGGCTGCCAAAGGTCCTGAATTTTGTGGGTCAGCGGGAGCATCTGTGATCTGGGGGTTATGACTTATCAGCAAAAGGAAGCTAATCTATTCACAAAATGTCTATCCCAAAACAAAGGAGGATGGAAGAGGCCAAGGGAGGATGTGTCTATTGCAGGGGTGTCAAACTCGATTTCATTGAGGGCCACGTCAGGGTTGTGTTTCACCTCGGGGCCCCATGGCCAGCTCAACGTCACTCATCGAAGCTCCATTTTCGGCGTGTCGGCCTCCTGCAGCCCTCTGCCAGTGAAAACGGAGATCGGGAGGGCTGCATGCAGCCTCCCTGAGCTCGATTTTCGCTGGCAGAGGGTTGCAGGAGGCATTGCAGTCAAAAACGGAGCCCGGAAGGATTGTACATCACCCTCCCGAGCTCCATTTTCATCAGCCGGTCCATCACTGTTTCCAGGGCAGGCCAGATTTAAGCACCCTGCGGGGTGGATCCAGCCTGGGGGCCTTGAGTTTGACACACACACACACACACATCCGGTCTGCTGCTATACTGCTGCTTGGGACGAATATATATTTAAAGAGAATCCAATTTACCCTTAAAAATAAAGGATAAATGCACATTCACTGTACAAGGTGTGCAATACATTCAAAAATAAATCTCAGATTCAAAAGTTAGCTTTCTCTTTCCAGCCACCTCTTTAAGATACAAAATAAACCTGCAAGTTCATGCATTTAAAACAAACCTCATTAATATATTAAATCACTAACCTCCAGATTGAAAAGTCTTACCACTTTGGCAACCACTTCCTCTATGTCAAAGGGCCACAAAAATTGGGGAAGCAAAAATGTATAAATGAAAGATCAAAGAGGAGTGAAAATTACACTTTTTCAAACCCAAAGCCAAGGTAATAAGGGCTTATTCTCAGACTGTAAATGTACTTTAAAAATTGTTTGAAAATGTAAAAAAAAAAAAACCACGGCAAGCAAACTTTTATTTGTCAGAATCAAGAAACTACCGTATCCAACACATCTGGAACAAAAGTCAAGCCTCAACCCTACAAATATCTCTTCCAAACAATTGCAGCAATCATTCGGATAAAAACTATAACAAAGTTAACAGTTTAGATCCTCACATCAAAGGAGTGTTGAGAAGAGCTGGCAACCAACAGAAAGCTTAGGAAGAATTTGATCTTTGCTGTACCCGCAAAACTGTAAGAAACAAATTAAGTACTGGGGCAATAGCAACAAAACATCCTTTGGAGGACCGAAAAACAATACAGATTAAAAAGCAAAAAAAAAAAGTCTAAACGATTCTTATAATAACAAGACATTCCTGTTACACTGGATAACCTCCTTTGCTGCAAATGCTTTGTGCCACCCTGCCCATCCCTGAACTACCTAATACCTGGCCCTTATTTAAAGGTTCAATGATTACACCTAGCTAGGAAAGACAATTCTGGAGAAAAGGCTTTAATAAGCTGGCATATTCAGAATGCAGAACCTTATTCTAGGAGGGTGGGAGAAGAAACGAGAATTGGGGAGGAAAAAGTAAAAATATAAAAAGTAAAAAAAAGTAAAAAAAAATATTAATTTGACTGGTTTATTTCCATTTTTTTTTTTCCCCACCTAAATCAAATACCTTGTTTTTACATAAGTTTGGCAGGAATTAAGTGATTTGTCTCTGAAAAACAAGCTATCTACATATTGGTAGGATGCTAATTTTTTTAAAAAACTTCAGTTCCTAATCATTTTAATAAATATTTATAATAAATTCTTCAGGAATTCAAGCTTTCTCAGAAGTCTTTATTCTTTCCTTAAAATGAGGTCTCTCTATATATAGATATAGATATATATATAGATATATATATAGATATATATCTTTAATCTCTCTATATATCTATTTGCCTGGCCGAAGAGAAAAGCTGGTCTTGAGTTCAAGGTTCACTGCCAAGTATCTCAGACTTGAGTTTTTTTTACAAGCCGAAGTTTGTTTGTTTTTTTTCCACCACCACCCCCAAAGGCCGGAAACGAGAAAGAGAATTATTAAAATGAGAAATTGATTATTATTATGCCCTGGGGGCAAAAAAA